ACCCGTAAGACTCGTCGTCGCGGACGTCAAACGTGCCCTTTAAGGCACGGATGTCCTTCGCCAACACAACCTTTTGGTGGATATCAGAGGACAACAGTTGATTGAAGTAGAGACCATAGTCACATATCCCTGTACAATTTAGCAACATTTCTTGTGCACAGCTAGCCCTCGTTGATCCTCAGTGCAATAAATTCCGAAGAGTCCTTTCAGAATTTTCAGAAATCGTACAGGCCACCTTCTCTGCGTCAGAGCGGAAACACGGAGTATTGCACCATATACATACTACGGGGCCCCCAGTCCTTGGTCCCCATGTCACTGCCTCAGGATCAACCCCTCTTTATGACAAAGTCAGGACCATTGACGTTTTCCCACATCACAACACGGTCACGCCTCCTACAATATTTTGGCATGATCAATTTTTACCATTGCCTCATCCCTAGCGCGGCAAAGATTATGACCCCACTGTATGATGCTTTGAAAGCAGGAAGAAAGCAATCGTCACCCTCTTGGTCCCAAGAAATGTCCAACGCCTTCCAGCAAAGCAAGCAAGAACTCGCAACAGCTTCCATGCTCTCTCACCCCCAGGCCGATGTCGAAATTGCATTGACTACCGACGCCTCTAACCAAGCTGTAGGATCTGTGTTAGAGCAGTACACTAATGGATCCTGGCAACCTTTGGCGTTCTTCAGCCGACGCCTTCGTCCAACGGAAAAGAAGTACAGTGCTTTCGACCGCGAACTATTCGGCCTCTACATGGCTGTCAGACATTTTCGTTTCATGCTAGAAGGCAGATGCTTTACGGCTTTCCCCGACCACAAGCCCTTGACGGCAGCTATGTCCAAGATTTCTGAGCCCTGGTCCGCAGACGCCAACAACGTCAGCTCGCATACATTTCTGAATCTACCACCAACGTGCGGCACATCTCAGGTAAACCCAACGTTGTTGCAGACTTCTTGTCTCTATCCATTCTTCAGGTCACATTCAATTTGGACTACAGGGCCATGGCTACTGCCCAGGACAATGAAAGCATACACGCACTTCAGACGGCATCAACGAGCTTACGCGTGGAGTTTGTACCGTGAGAACCAGGAGGCCCAGACAACTTTTCGATACACTCCGAGCACGTGTTCAGAAATTGGCTCCAAAACCAACGGCTCCACAACTCCGACCGTTTTCAAATGTCCCATCTTCGCTGAAAACATCAGACTTTGTGTTTGTTCGTCGTGACGATCGACAAAAGCCTCAACAACGTCCATACACTGGACCATACAAGGTTTTGGACAAGTCTGACAAAACTTTTTTTGTTGAATGTTGGCGGACATCAGGAGCAGGTCTCCATTGATCGACTGAAACCAGATCATGTCGACAATTCTGAACCTGTCCAGGTTGCCAATCCCCCCAGGCGTGGTCGGCCTCCATCAAAGGCATCAGAGCCTCAGCCGTCCAGAGCCAAGGTCTCACGGTCCGGAAGACCGTTGAGGCCGCCTCGCCGTTTCAACTAAGAAACCGTCTTGTCGGTGCTGGTGGGTGACTGTAGCGGCCACGAGCCTACATGGAAACAATGACCTCGCACCGACAAGACAACTCATGACTGACCAGGGAGCTGAGCGAGACTCTAGGGAGCTAACCAGCCGCCCAACTCGTCGGCCATTCCAGTGGACAACAACACACAAGACAAGACACAAGGTAAGGAGTGCGTCCCTCCTACACGTCTCTAAAATTGTCTCCTTTCACCACTTTTCCTGCTCTTTAGCAATTTAATGTCGTCTGCTTTCGTCTCCACTTTCTTCCCCACACCCCCTCGCCTCCTTTGCCCCCTCCTCTGGGCTCCTAGCCCTTTCTGCAGCCTTTCCATTGTTTCTCCTTGGCTCTTTCAGCCACATCCCTGATCTTCTGGTAGGAAAGATCTACACCTACCTTCTCGGACAAGGGCGAAAAATCTCCAAGGTCTCGTGTGCAAGTTGGGCACGTATAAGATACCTTGGTGGTCAAAAATCGATAAAAGTAGGCTTCGGCCTCCACCCGCGCAAAATTCAGAATTTCCTACCAACTGAAGACGTTTAAAGTATAACCCACCATAATGGAACTGCTTGACTTAGTGTGCTTTTTTTTAAGTTTCAGTTAGGTTTTACGGCACTCGCAACTGCATAAGGTCATATATGCGCAAAGGGGTGGACGACAACAGAAAAGTCTAAACGGGGACTTACTCTGCTCACCTTTCTAGCCTCAATAGCATAAAGTCTGCTTCGACTATCAAGGCATCCCAGAAATAGCAGTTCACAAGAGAGTGACAAACATACAAAAGAAGTAGAGGAAAAATGACAATAGTAAGGATAAGGAAAGAAAAAAGCATCAGTTCTCCCTATGTTGTTCCGACACAGTACATGTATGAGCACTACATTGATAAATCAGCCCATTTACAATTCTACTGTGCATAAAAACATATTAATACCCCCCCTTTGGGAATGGCCTAAAGACACTTCAGTCAGCAGCACTGCCCTGGTGGGGGGAAACCTTGCTTTACTTTACTTTACTGTATCCTTCCTCTTGTACCTCTAGGGTGTCGAGGGGAGAAAGAGTTCCCTGTCTCTAGCAAGCTTTATGGCCTGGCTGGGTGGGATATTGTACGTTCTCATCTGAATCCGGGCCTTTTTTGGTCTTCCTCTTGCCTTGTACCCTGATAGTTTCCTGTAGTAGGCTTTACTGGCAAGCTGATGAGGTGCCGTACGCGTGAGATGTCCAAACCACCTGATCGTTTGCCTTCGAATGTAGAATTGGGGGGAAACCAAGAGCGCAAAATCCGGACCATTCTAGGGGTCGCAGTCGGGTTTGAGCCTCGGTTCGCATACGGATTTTTACACCCCCACCCCTCTCCCTCCATCCCACCCAGGAGTAATGGATACCAGACTTCAAGGTGGAGTAGTAAAAACGTCGTGGAAAAGAACTGTCCACCCTACTAAATTATACCGAAGGCCCAGGAAGTTGTGTCACTAACAAAGCAATCCCCAGTATCTGGATCGGATGCGGGAATAACGTTTTACTCATACCCACACTGAAAGGTGGTCAGAGTTTCTGCGAGGGTGGTTGACGGGCATTCTGGTCTGGTTAAACATCTTCCCTGTCAAACTTCTATCGACCTTATCTCTCTTCCTCCTTTTGTTTCTATGTTACTTTCTAGAATTAGCGTATTATAAATATATTATATAAAGGTACCATAAATAGTTTACTAAAACTTTTTAGAAAGTACTTTCTGCTGTGCTGTCTGGTTTGTCTATTTCCTGTGGATCGAGGTCTGTCGTGTAGAGGGTAGAATCCTGGCTGTCACACTCAATAGACAAGAGTTCACTTCCCTTGTGGGAATGGGTTGGGGGGGTTTTCTTACTTTTTAAATCGAGTATCTTTATTTGGGTTATATCTCACTCAGGCAGAGTCGAAGCAGCCCGTCTTGCAATTGTGTTGATGGGAATGTAAACCCGTTCTTCTTTCACCTTCTGTAATCAAGATCTTCTCAGTGTCCTAGCGGTCAGTGTATTCTCTTTAGATTCGTTTAGATCTAATCTTGGGAAAGTCCAAGACGCCATTGTTCGCAAGTGAGGATTCCGTTCACATGCAGAGCGCACGGTTCCCACAGTGACTTGACGATCAATTCTTTCATCGAACAGGGTATCCAGCTAGTTGTCAATATTGGTGCCTCCTAAATTATCTAAATCGTGTCCAAGGGAACACAAAAAATATTTAGACTTACAATTCATATAACGATCTCAACTTATCAGTCACTCGTCCAAACAGCTACATGTATTTTTGAAGTGTGCTGACAAAATGATTTACTTCTCATATTTAGACCCATGGAAAAAGAAACATCAAATGTTTAGGTTGAAGATTTACAATTTATCAGTATGAAATTATACAAGACATGTTACACTTGAAGAGAATGGCATTGGTTTAGAGTTTACAAATATGACCCTCGTGTTGAGTTTTGGCTGATATCTCCATTCATGGATTGCGAGAAGTAACTCATTTTGTTAGCCCGCCTCACATTTATATTTTGGATCAGTTGAGTTTGAAAATATGAATAGAAACCACCCATCCCATAAATGACTAGATCTGGATCTAGGTCCAATCCATCACGCGAACGACGCCCGTGTGGGAAAGTACTTGCATCCTTCGTCTCTCAAGCAAAGGTGTTATTCACAAAAACCTTCAGGCAAATACTTATCTCACATCAGGCTCAGTATGTGTGTGTGTGTGTGTGTGTGTGTGTGTGTGTGTGTGTGTGTGTGTGTGTGCGCGCGCGCGCGCGCGTGTATGCATATATATGTGGCTTCCTTTCATTACCTTTCTTTCGTAAGAGCTTTACGGCACTTGCAACACAATACACGTAAGGTCATGTAAGTGCCGAAGAATAGATGTGTTACAAGAGAGTAATAAGCACAAAAAAGAAGGAGAGGAGATAAAGACGATAGATGTTTGATAGGAAAGAAAAAGCAAACCACACCAGAGCACACACCAACCACCCTGTTGAATCTCTGTGGTATGTCTTTTCCACAAAGAACACCTTCAATCGTCTTTTTCAGTCAGAAAACAACAGAAAAGTAAAAGCTATACAGGAAATAAACAACAGTAACAGGAAAGAAGAATAGGAACAACAACATTAAAGGTAACAAGAAGCAACAGTTGCAAGAAAGGTATTTTAAAAAACCAACAGCAACAATAACATTTATCAACCACAACGACGACCACTACCACCACCACCAACAACAACAACAACTACAACCAACAACGACAATAAGAACAACAACAACAACAACAACAACAACAACAACAACAACAACAACAACAACAAAAATAACAACAGCAATGCACAAAAACATTACAGTAAAAAAAAAATTAAAAAATTCAGCTACAAAGTGTGCTGAAGCTACTGTGTCACAACATTCTGCTCATCACACTCACTCATCCATTCTCAACCAAATGTAAAGAAAGAAAACAACCAGGGAAAATGTTTTAGTCTTCACAAACTTATTTGTGTATTCATCATCATTATTTATCAATATTCAAACAATGGGGCAAGAATAGAACCGAATCAACCATAGACGCACGACACATGACTCTAACTCTATCCATAGGAGAGCCCTGAGCCAGTGACGTACGCACAAAGGCGATTCTGGAATAAAGTATTTAATGTATTTTAATGACTTGATGGGTCTTCGTCAAACCAGTCTACTACTGTCTCTTCCAATTTGATTGCGTCCGTCCGACAAAACAGACCAAAGAAGGAGTGTAGGCTGCATAATAATAATAATAACAAAATTAATCATAAAAATACTAGTATTATTAATAATAATACAGTAGAAAAACACATGAATGAAGTTCTTCAGTGAAGGTCCATTTCATTGTCTCTCGTGTTCGACCATCTGGCCAAAGCTTCCAACCGTCTCTTCTCAGCGAGGATTTTATTGTCAATGGCGACGGTGTGAGCTAGGTCAAGGCCGTGAACGTGACCCCTCTTCTCCCAGTGACCCGAGGCTTTGAGGACGCTCCGGGGAAGGTCGCTGGTCGTGGTGTAGTCGCACTCGCGGTCTGAGTTGCTAGGCGACGCTGACTTCCGGGAGTGAGGGGAGCCAATGAGGAGCGTCGGGGACGAGGCCACAGAGGTCAAAGGGGAAGTGGGGCTGGAGAAGTATCCTCTGCTGCTGGGCTCGCTGACCGGGGAGTCGGGGTTCGACCCTAAGAAATACGAAGAGCGGAGGATTTGGGCGTCTGTCTCCTCTATTTCGTTTAACTTCCGCTTCCGGGATTTGAGACTGAGGTCTTCAGGTTGCTCGTCATCTGGTATGACGTCACGTACGTTAGGAGTTAATCCGTTCTGATGACGTAAGTGGGAGGGTACGAGGACTTTGGCGGAGTGAGCGTGCGTTAGGAAGGAGGGGACGTTGGCGTTTGTGGATGGCTCACGGTGCTGTTGGTGATGGTCATCATGATGATGACCGTTAGGTTGATGATGATGATGATGATGATGGCGATGGTGGTTGTGTTGGTGGTGACTTTTGACTTGCCCAGGCTCAGCCTGTGACGTGATTTGAGATCTCAACAAACTCTCGATCTGTCCCTCGTTCAGATAGTTCCGAGCCACTCTTTCTACAATAGTATTGTTCGTTGCGTAAGTGGCGACGGCGGCTGGTGGTGAGAGAGGCGACCTACTTTGTCGCAGCTGAGAGGCGGGCATGTTGCCCTGGGTGGCGCTGCTAGTCCTGGACCTGCGCCGTCCGCGGTAGACAGCCGGGCGTGCGGAGGCTGTTTCTTCACTCATGATGCGGTGAATAAAGGGAACATTTTTGCACGTGCCACGGTCGTGATCACAGTCCGAGTCTTCTTTCTGAAGTTCTTCGGCGATGATGCTGGCGATTCGCGAGCTCTGAGATGAGATGGGTTGAGATCGTGTGGGTCCGAATCTGGTCGGGTGGTGGTGGTGGTTGTAGATGTCACGATGCTGGCCGATATGTGAGCGTTGAGAACCTCCTTCCCGTCTGGAGGAGAGAAGACCACTTTCACCGTGCTGTTGGAGAACCCGCGACTGCTGGTTTTGATGGATCGCCATGTGGTGCTGGGGATGGCGCTGTTGCTGTTGCTGCTGTTGTTGCAGCTGCTGTTGTTGTTGCTGTTTGTGGGGGTGGCTACCAAGATGATGGCGGATTGAACCTGGAGGACTGGGGGATCCGCGTCCGTTTACACGATGCCCGCTTTCGTTCTGGTGACGGCGTGGCTCGGAGTTGTGCTGCTCGTGGTGGTGGTGGCCGTTGCTGCTGCTGTAGCCGTTTATACCACTGCTGTTGTTGCTGCTGTTGTTGTTTTGATAATGTTGGCGGAGCAGATTCTCAGCCGCTCTGATTTTAATCAGTTCTTGGGCGGAGATGGGAGCCCGTTTTGGCTTGCCATTCTCCCCTTCCCCCCGAGCCGACAAAACGGCTCCATTAGCAATGTCTTCCGACTCGCTCAGAGACATCTCCCGAACCACAGACTCTCTGGCGGCGTGGTACCCGTTCTGGTAGTGCTGCAACAGCACACGTGCACGCTGTTCCAGGTTCGAATCCGTCTTCAGTAACTCCTCTTCAAGAAGTCCCATCTTCCTGGTGGGATGAGCCACAACGTTTCTCGCCGATGCTTTCCCGGAAGGCATAAAATGCGGGAAACTGTTCGCGAAAATCTCACCACGATTGTCTCCATTTCTGTAATGGTTGGGCGGCGACGACTCTCGCGCACTGTTCTTATGACTTAGATTAACCGATTGGTTTGAGTTCGAGTCGTGATGGTGGGCCCGGAGGTCCCTACCGTCGTCCGTGATTAGAGACGAGTCAACAACACCGACAGGGGACATCAAGGCGTCTTGTCGGATCAGAACCGGCATATCAGGGGGCGGCAAGCCAGCAACCAACTCATCCTCCTCCACCCCCTCGAACTCCTCCTTGCCCTCACTGTCGCTATGGAGACGCCTGACGCCGTGGGCTCCTCTTGACCTCTCTTCCAACAACTTCCGTTGTTCCGAGGCCGTCGTGTGGAGGTTGGCCGCCCGCGCAAGAAGGTCAAGGTTGCCGGACTTCATGTGGTCGACCTCTGACCCCTCCTGCTCGCTGTCACCGTTGGCCGTGCTGTTGCTGTTGCTGTGGCTGTTGTTGTCAGGCACCCCCTTCCCAACGTCCTGCTTCCCTTCAAAGTAGCGCTGCTGGAGCCGAGACTTGAGCTTGGGATGCTGTGAAAAGGAACCAAACAAAAAAAATGTCTTAGTCTAGAGTGAGTGAGTAGGGCATGCATGTTTGTGTGGGGACAGAGAAGTAACAACAACAAATACTACAACTACAACTACTACTACTACAATAACTACTACTACTACTACCTACTACTACTACTACTACCTACTACTACTACTACTATTACTACTGCTGCTGCTGCTGCTGCTGTTGCTGTTGTTGCTGCTGCTACTACTACTACTACACCTACTACAGCTACAGCTACTACTACTATACCACTACCACTACCATAACTACGTACATATCCAGCGTTTTTAAAGTTCAGTTTTAGTAAGGTTTTACGGTGCTCGCAACTGCATAAGGTCATATGAGCGCGAAAAAAACCCAACAACATTAAAAACAACAACAGCAACCAACAATAGTTTTTAAAAAAAAAGAAAAAAAAAAGTAAAATAAAATAAAAGACTCATCAATGTTTAAAACAACAAGAAGAACGGTAACAACACACCCTAATAATAGTAATAAGCTATCCTATTATTTAGACGGAGCGCACGCACCGAGGCGCGACAACCTCTGAACAATGATCAACACTCTGTTTTTATTCCTCCCTCTCTCTCTCTCTCTCTCTCTCTCTCTCTCTCTCTC